AGGATCAATCTAAGAAAACTATCATTTGATTCTACGTCAAGGAAATGCTTGCTTTTTGTATTTAAAAAATCGAGGTTAATCCTGTTGCACCTATGGCATTGCGCGAAAAACACTGGTTCTGATATTTAATCATATGCAAATCACAGGGCAAAAGGCGATTATTGGACTTTTTAAGCATGGCATGCCCGCTGAAGAATGCGTTTCCCAGTTGACCTTTCATCGCTCCCACCGTATTCAGCTTAACTCGAAGCAATCACGTGTTGTCGAAATGGGGAGCTGCGTCGCCTATTTAAGGCGCTCACACACCTGGCTCAGTCACTTATTGTCGCTCTTATCACCTCAGTGGCAATTATTTCCTCAGTTCGCATATTCTATATACATACTTCAGTCACTTATCACGTCCACAAACTCAGAAGTTCTGCTCAGTTCTTTTGAAAGAGAGTTAACTTTTAGAACTATTGAGAACCATAATAGAAGTTCAAACTCAAAAACTGTGCTACATAAAGTGAAGTAGAAAGGTTAGAATAGAACAAAGCACTCGAAAAAATATCCATTTATTGAGGAAAATAAACAGAAAAATAACTTGGTTTCCTACGTGAGAGTTTATAGTAAAGAAAGGCGGGGGTCTGTAAAACGTTCCAGTCCCAGGAATGTAATTCCTGGTTCAAGGTATGGGCTACGCTACCTTCAACATCACATATGCTCTTTCAATTCTTGATAGTGGGCCTGACCACCACTGTAACTTCACTTTTGCTCTTTTACTTCTTGCTGTCTCTGCAATCGGCCCATTTTTCATTAGAGACCAGTGAAGAAGGAGTACATCAGCTAGTGCATACAACACAAAGCTGATCACGGCATCTCGACACTGCGCTTTTTTTTACTACTTTTCGCACTTATGGCCAGTAAAGCTTTTCTGATAAAAATGAGTATTTCCGCTCATGACTCTCGAGTGGCACAACTTCCTCTAGACATGTGCAGAAAGAGCTGAGAAAAATAAGCAGGGATCATGGACTAGAATAATTCTTAGAAAACAATCGCCGCAGTTATTCGCTCTCTGCCTAATGAGAGCAATGAACGCCCTCAGACTTCCGTGCATCACATCGATAGAGTCAGTACATGATCATGTTTTGCTACGCCTAAATCTCTACTGAGCCTTCCCTTGAACTTCTTCGCAGAAGGTTTCATGCGCCAAATATGTACCCCTCCAATTGTGGGAGTGTTCAAAAAAGTTACGATTGAATTCCTTAAATGGCATTAGGTTGCTCAGGGATGAAGGATCAAACGACTAGTGTTGAACATTCTTTCGAGAACGCATCACGGAGTTCATCTCATATGTTGAGACAAATAAGATGAGATTCGCGGGAGCATTTAAGCGCCAGGGAGGTCCAAGGCAGTACCTTCATTGCTCTAAAGATTCACACCAGTGAAGTCAGTGGAAGTGAAGGTCTGGACAGACTAGGCATAACCTACTGCTGAAGTTGCTTTTCCGATAATACTAGAGTCGACAGAAAATAACGTCCAAAAACAGAACGCATCTTTTGGGCATTAAAGTACTTACCTTAGTCACAAACATTGACTAAGATGACATTTATGACAAGGCAAGTTTCTAATGGATCTATCGAAAGCCGCAAAAGACGAGCCTGACAGGATCAGTCTCGCATTCCTTTCCACCTAAGGCTTCTCCATGTAACGTCTAGGCCACGACAAAGTGCGACATTACAGACGCTCTTCGATTTATGAATAAAACCCTAGATTTGGGGTTCTCAAGGTGAGCGAAGTGTATGGCCACTTGAATTGCCACAATTTCACTTTCGTATCACACATTCGCAACAAAGAGAGGATATTAACAACGGTGGGTTCATCATTAACAGAGCCTTGAGATGAATGTTGTCTGAGACTAACTGAACCGGAGTTTGATGTAATCATTGCACCTCTCACGAATTGGAGGTATCCCACATTTCCTCAATCAAACTGAATTCTCACTTCTAAGCCACATAACAAAGTCATCGGAAACCATTTTCTGCCGTCGATTTTGTCAGCAAATACTAAGGACAATTTCAGCCAATTTTCTCAGGTAAATGAAGATCATTTCTCTGGTCGTTGTGTGCCTGTGTTTTGCCATTGCTCAAGGAGGTCACCCAGGAGGGCCCAAGCCTGGAAAGCCTACGTAAGACACCATACCTGTCCATTGCTACCCACTAACTAAATCCCTGAAACTATTTTCAGCAAAGCACTTCCATCTCCATATATTGAGAAACTCGTGAACTATGGGGATCAAAATGATGCCGTTCTGCAGGGATTCCTCGTCTATCCCAAGTAAGTCGTCTGGTAAAAGGAATCAGCATCAGCACAAGCTTGCCTTCAGAAAAACCATCACATTTCCTTTAGAAAAGCGAGCAACAAGCACAAATTTCCAGCAGTGATTGAGTTCCACGCTTTCACTGGCCGAACCGAGTTCGACAATCAAAAAGCCAGGGATCTCGCTAAGGTTGGTAGCAAACATTGACAGGATACAAGCAGGCCTTTTTTTCGAGGAGTGGGGTCAATCTGAAGGTATTGGACAGGGGGATTTTAGTACACGTGGACCGGCATTCATTTCTTGGTGGAATCGCGGTTCAGTGACCTTAAATAGCGACCTCCGGCTTCCTCTCGCAATAAGATGCTGGTGAAGAATACGTATCCCAGCTCTTGTGCTCCCGCCACGACTTCGTGACCAAACCCCAAATACCCTTGTTGGACGTACATTGAATTCCTGAATGGAGGCGATCGAAAATAACTTAGTTCCAAGCCCAAGAAAAGCTTTCTTTGATTCCACAAAAAAAGATGGCTTTGGGTGGATAAAACTGTCTGTGCAATCATTGCTCTTTCAGCTTGGTTACGTAGCCTTCGCTGCCGATGTCTACGGCGTAGGCGTCGCATCTAATGACACCAATACGAATTTCGCTACAATGGGGCAAATGCTTGCACAGCGTACCACAGTACTTCAACAGAGGGTACGAGCAGCATGGAATCTGGTGAAGCAACTGCCGTACGTGGACAACCAAAAAGTGAGTTCCTAGAGGGTTCAAAGTTTCCCAATTATTTAGCCAGTCATAAAGCAATACCCATAACATCCGTATATACCAAAACTTATTAAGTTCTTTCAACAGAAGTTAGTAGTGCGTTGTTTCTGGGGTGAACAGATTTTTCCTTATGAATTCTCTTAATCCATGACGCTGACACTTCCTCGTACCACTGAGAGCACTACGAAACTTCTTGAAGTGATACGTTTCCTGGTTAGTACAAACCTGAGCTTAGCTAGTTAAAATCAGAGCATTGAACTGTGAACGGATCCGAATTCCAACCACGACACAAGGGCGGATTTTACAATGAAAAGGCAGTTCATTAGAAATAGGGTAGAGGTGGTCAGTGGATGCAGAATGAAGAAAAAACCATGAGAAACGGCCCAGAACCCGAGAAATGGGACCCCTTCCTTCCCGTTGATTTCCGCATTGATGCGACTCTCATCGGTGCTGCCCTCTTCAACGCTAACGCTCTCTCTGCTGCCTAATAATCGGCCACAGTGTCACACAACGATAGGGAGGCGTACTGCGCCGATAGCGCCGAGAGGGGCGGGGGGGGGGGGGCATATCATTCGTTGCGAATTGTCTGTCGGTTCGCACCCTTAGGTCTTCGCCTGTCTTCCCCTTAGGTGTATTTACCCTTCTTCGACCTTCGTCCTCGTCGTCGAATCCCCCTTCAATTAAGCCATCACTACGGCCCCCAAACTTTAGAAACAATGAAGCAAACGAAGATAGTCGATGCTACAGTGCTAGTAGTATGCAGTGAGTTATACTCTCCCTTCCCCCCCCCTTCTTTGAAATGATGAGTATGAGGACACAATTGAACTTATAGAGCTGCGCTTCCAAATTTTACTTGCAAGGGCCTTGTAAAAAATATTCCAAACACTGCGCGCCTTAAAAGTGAACAGGATTTCGACGAGAATTTTCCATCCCATCTTACCGAGCATTGTAATCATACTTCTCCATATTTTGAACGTTTCTTCACATGCAGACCTGGACTTGCCCCCTCATTCGCTCGAAAAGCATCCAAAGGCAAGCAGTAGAACTTGGTAGAACTACAGGCCTGTAGCTTCCGACTCTTTCAAATGAGCAGAGGCTTTCTGTGAGGCTTATCCGGTCATAGACGCCAATTCAATGCTCGATCTCCATGGTTTGTTAAGAATACCACTGAGTTGAAGCTTGTGCTGCCTGGTAAGCGCTAAGAGGAAATTAGTTTAATCTGATCTTGAATTCTGACCCCATGACCGGCAGAATCCGAATACCAATTGAGGGTGCGGGTGCACTCGAAATGAGCGAAGTAGGTGGAAGCATACGTATAGGAGAAGCGCAGGAAGAAAGTGCAAACAGCTAAATAGAAGCCCATCTTCGTCAGCCCAGCAGCACAACATCCTGGGATGGAGAAATGGTGTATTACGATGAGTTATTCGAGCAGCTGCTGCTTCCCCCGCAATCATCCAGTTAAGTGGCTAACTTCTATGTAAACTGCTGTCTGATTTCTAACTATGCACGCAACGAAACGAGACGGCTACGCGCGCCGTGTTGTAGGTGGAGTCGGTGGTTGTTAAGGGTGTGGTTTCGCTCCAGCACATTTGACACTTCGGTAAAGCCTTAGCGCCGTTGTCGCGCTCTCTAGAGCCACGACGGCACAATTGCATACATCGTGGACAGCTTCATCCTACTTCAAGAAGGAGCCTGATCGACTTGAGGCTTCCCAACCCAAAACCGATGAATGCTCCTCTAAACTGGTGATTTCATGTCTTTAATTTTATTACATGCGCTGTGATGGCAGGAGCAGCTTGCTAGCAGTGCGCGACCAAGTTTCACTTGCTCAGTTCTTCTCGAAGATAAGCAAGCCCTCGGTGGCTCTGGCTCCTGGTGTCGAGGCTCTTTGTAGTTGCTCTGATGGTGAGGCCAATAGCCGGTCTGTATCAAGCAGTCCACATAACATTCCAGTAAGTTTTCAATACCTTCAAGGTCTCGGGGGATGAAGTTGTTGCAACAGCCATGAGATATTTCGCGATGAAAGACCTGCCCAGAAGTTTATTTCACATCCGACATTTAGGCCTTTTGCCAAATTGTAGTACAACCCTTCGAGTTTAATTATAATCTGAAGTCCACCCAATGTGGGGTCGAAGAACATACATGAAAGACATGTCGAGCAAGCTCGCTTGTTGATCGTTCACCCAACTTTAAATAAAATAGAATTTCAAATAGTACGGGCTCTGAATACAGAGAATATGCAGACCTGTTCCAGCAATTTCAATTCAGATCGGATGCATTGGTTTCTGCTTCGGCGGTCTCACCTGCTTGGATTTGGCCAGATTCGACGTCGGTCTCGAGGCCGCGGTTTCCTTCCATGGAACTTTGACCAACTATCCAGGAAACAACACGTAGGATTTTCTGATCAGTTCGCGATCATACTGCTGGAAAGGTGGTTTATCAAACATAGCGTTATAGATCTATTGGAGCGTCTATACAAGCTCATCACGGCGACATCGATCCTCACACCACCAACGCCGACGTAAGTTTTGTTAACACTCAATGGGTAATTAGCCTACAACATACACCAGTAACGCCTCAAGCTACCTTTTGAGTAATTCAATATTTTATAATTTGTTAGGTTTCCCCCCCTTGTGCTTCCTCTGAGGCGAAATTCCCCATTCAACAACTCTGAAAAGGTCAGAGTGATCATTTGTCTCGCTGGCGCAATATAGCTTCCATACTAATTGCTGCTTATCCGTGTCAGAGGAATACGTTTGAAGAGAAAACTATATGACGACACAAAAAATGACTCTGGAAGGCATGCAAGTTTGCTTGGTAGGTCGCGCACATTAACATAAATTTGTTCGAGTAAGACTGTTTGAGTCACCGCTGCCATGAGGACCATGCGAATTTCTGTTACATCAGGAAAATTTGCATCTCTTGCTATTAAATACCGACTGTTGCTGCTCCAAGGAAATTTTATGTACACCCAATGCGACATTTATAATCACCTGTATCACCTGTCGTCCCGTTGATCGTCGATTTGCTCGAGCGGGCGCCAGCAACGTCTCCATTCGTCCCTGTCGCGTGCTAGAGTGGTCCAGTGGATCCTCCTTGCTCGAGGGACACGAAGTCCATCATTCCTTTCGTTCAGAGCTTTCGTGAAGAAGTCTGACCATCGGGCCGGCGGTCGTCCAGGTGTTCGTTTGACGTCCCGAGGGATCCAGTCGGTAACCGCTCTGGTCCAACGGTCATCGCAAAATCGCATGACGTGTCCGGCCCACCTTATCTTCGATTCCTTGGCGAAAACGGCAGCGTCCCTGATCTTCGATCGTTGGCGTAGTTCCGAACTCCGGATTCCCCTCTGCACTTGCGTGTATAGGGTTACTCCTAGCATCGTCCTCTCGAAATCGGACATTTATAATGCAGCAACCAAATATATCTTTGTTGAACTTTCTCTGATCCAGTCAAATTTAAGGCCGAGTCATTCAAAGAGGAAATGCGAGCCAGGGGTGCAGATTGGTTCTTCACTTCGTACTCCGACGCAATGCATGCCTTCACTCTGCCAGGCAAGTGCAACAGAGAGTCTGCGAGATGCAGAAAATGAAGGAATTTTGCAAACTAAATGTCTTCAGGTGTTCTCGTCAGCAATTGACCGTAAAATTACATAGCTTTGGAATGTAACAATCCGAAGTAGTCCTGCGGGAATAAATGATCTGTTAATCAACACTCATTTAAGGAGTCGAGAACTGGGGAATCCCAGTACAGCTACACCAGAAGCAGGATAAACATCGTGTAGGGCCATGCAGACATCTCCATCTCGCTGAAAAACTTCTATGAAGCGTATTTTGGAGAAGAGCCACTCTCGAAAAATTCCACGTTTTCTAATTTGATTACTTCCATCTGTCATCGTATTATAATAATAATAAATGATGGTAATAATGATCTGATGTTTACTAATGTAGTCCACCTTGAGGAGACATATCGTGCCCCTCCCCCCCCCCCCCATCCCAGCATTGCATTAGTTTTGTGCGAAATTCGCACGAATAGGGGAGCGAATTTGTTGCCTTAACCGCCAACTGGATGATATTAGCAGCAACGCTAGAACGACTGAACATAATGAAATCATCTTAAGAATACAGGGTTGTGGACGGCACCCCAGGCGGGAATCGAATCCGCCCCTCTCGCATCCTCAGCAGTTGCTCCCGGCCGGGCCGAGCAAGCCGCTTCACACTTTTGCCCGCAGCTTTTCAAATGTTATATTACCAACATGGCTATACATAGGACTGCTATCTTCCTGTGCCTTTCGGGCCACCCTTTGCACTTTCTGGCACATATACATCCTCATGAAGGGGGAGACGTCTTTCTCCTCCTGGGTCGCCCGTCCGCTCGCCGCGCCGCCGACTACGCGCGATCGACGCGCGAAGCTGTGGGTGGTCTTGGATGTGGTGTTGGTGGCGGTCTGCTCGCAACTGTCGTTGCACTTTTCCCAAGTTCGGCACTGTTCCATTGATCGACTGCATGTATTACCGTATGTGTCAGCAACCAGACTTGTTTTGCTGAATCATTCTGCCGACACTAGTCGAAATGTGAAAATGTGACACGCTTAACCGACTCAGAAGGCGGTCGGAAATACGAATCCCTCGGTCGTGATCCGCCTGTTCAACACCAATCTTCCATCCGTCCGGGTCGCTTAATTGGTACGCGGGACCTAATCTTGTCATATGAGAATCTAAACACACTGACTATTACACTCGACTCGCCCCCTCTGCAAGTCATTGCTATATGCCTTATCTGCATCAAACGCTCCACTAACCTAATGATGCCACATGGTAAGGTAGGACATCGTGCCCGCACTTCCCGCGCAAAAGCGGATTGTTTGATTGTAAATTGCCTTTATCTTACTCCCTTACTTGAAGACGCATTTCACTCTATATAAAAAATCCTCATAGTAACCACCTTCGTGGACGGCATCAGAAGAGTTCATCTCGAACCATTCACACCACGGAAACATGGTGCACTGGTCGAGCTCAGTGGGGTCTTTTAAGGATCGTGTACCATAACGACCTTACTGGAAAGCTAGTTCCGAGGGGATTTGCACAGTGGTAGCTAATGCCTCTAGAAAACTATCCAACATTAAATCGATTCACGAAATTGCGTAAGAGCTTCAGGCTGAAGCTCTTACGGTAGACCTCCTTGAGCCTGACGACGGTGACAGATGACGTCATATTCTGAAGACGGTGAGGGCAGTGAAGGAGGGCCTGCGTTCACTTATAGAGGGACACTTAGGGAATACTTTGCTGAGAACTCCTTCCGTTAACGAGACGAATTCTCTGTGAAAAGAAGAGGGCCGAAAGTTCGGTAGCATAAGCAACAATGTCTTTTCTTTGCCCCTCCTGTATACTTCTCAGAGATTTTCCATCAAATGCGACCACGCTTCACACTGACCTCTTAAAAGCATTTGCGTTTTGGAGTCTGTCGCTCTTATGATTAGTTGAGTAACTTACATGAGTCCTGCATTGTTCTTGTGAAAATGCGCTGTGTAGATGACGCCGTCGACTCAAGAAAGGGAACAAATGTCCTTCCAAAGATTTATATTAATCTTCGAATTCCATTGTGTAGGTCAAAAGAAAAAAATTTTGGCACAACGTGAACACAGTAGGTACACACCTTCACCTCTCCTAACACTAAAAACTTGCGAAGCGCACTGAAGTCAAATATCTTGTTCAACTTACGCTTAAAGGCAAAAGTCAGGCTCGTGTTTCGGCATTATGGCACCTGATATTGAGTTTAGAGATGGGAGGTGGAACGATAGTGAAGAAAAAACGAAAAAAAAAACTGTCGACAACACCGAAATCGAAACCCCACCCCTTCCTTCTAGCAGTGAAGGAGGCTTGCTCGGGGGAGAGCCACGTCCAAACGAGTTTTCCGGATATGCCAGCCGTTCCATCGGTTGATACGGCAATCAACCTAGCTGATCTCACACGTTAGGCCAGCCACGCACCACATCCCGCGGTGGGCTGCCGTAAATTCTCGCAGCACGGCAGCACACATGGCACTAGACCTGCTACGCCTTTGCTCGTTGCACTCTTTGTCGCGACAGCCTCACACCCAGGGTCAAGCGAACCATTTATACATTTACACATTTATTTCCGTTATTCATCTGACATAAACAGAGAAACGGGCCATGATCTGGAACCATTCAGAAGTCGTCACCGTGTTCTGCCAGTCTGCTCCCGCGAACATCTTGAAATCGTCTTCCCACCGCACTCGTGGTCGTCCAACTGATCTGCTTCCACAGGGCTTCCAATTCATCAGCCGCACTTCCCATCGCGTCCTGTCTCTTGTCATTAACTTATTTGCGTAAATCCACTTGCGCTTTCTGGCTTCGATGACAGCGTCTTTCAGTTTGGTCCTTGCTCGTATTGCTACGCTCGATACCTTATCGCGAAGTCGGAGGTCTAACATTTGGCGCTCCATCCGTCGTTGGCATTTTCTTATACGATCCTCTGCTGCTTTGGTTAGGGCCCACGTTTCACATCCATACAGTAGAGTTGGTATCACACATGTGTGGAAGAAGCGTCGTTTGGTCATCAGTGGCGTCATTCTGCTTTTCAATAGGGCTCGAACTTTTCTGTTGATGCTCCACGCAGCGCTGATTCTCCGGCTGATTTCTTGTCCACGATCCTGAGGGAAACATATGAGTTGGCCCAAATACACGAAGGAAGATACCAGCTCAATTTCTTCTCCGTTGGCTCTGAGATGCTGTCCATTAGGGTTGCTGGACATCCACTTTGTTTTGCTTGTATTCACTTCAAGTCCGGCCACTTTCGTCGCACCAATGAGTTTATTGAGCATGCTTTGTAGTCCATCGACCGTTGGCGAACACAGGAAAATATCGTCAGCGTAGGCGAGGATAGCTGAGGTGATACTGCTCAATGGGGTAACCCTGGCCATCCCAGTCAATGTCATCAAGGCACGATTGCAGAGTCAAAATGAACAACAGAGGAGATAACGAATCGCCTTGTCTGACACCTCGTTGAATTTTGATCTCCATCTCTATCGAGTCCAGGGCCAAAAACGATCGTCCAGCAGCGTACAGCTGTTTTATCATTCGAACTGTGCAGTCATCTACTTTGAACTTATCCAAAGCTTTCCAAATAGCTTCGTACTCGATTGTATCGAAAGCTTTTCGGTAGTCAATGAAGACCATGTGAAGCGGTTTCCTCCATTCACGACATTTCTCAATTAGTAAGTTGACGGACATGATGTGGTCACGGGTGGAGAAGCTACGTCTGAATCCAGCTTGTTCTTGTGGAACGAACTCCATAACCACTTCTTCCACACGACGAGCCAGCGCACGGGTAAGAACTTTAAGGACAGTTGACAATAGGGAGATTGGTCTGTAGTTGCTGATGTTCAATGGGTCACCTTTTTTGTATAGGAGGATGGTTTTGGCTTTGACGAAATTTTCAGGGAACTGGTTGAGCTCGAAATGTTGATTTATTTCTTTAGCAAGGTCTTCCGCACATACAGGTACTAGATACTTCGTTACTCCAGATGGTATTCCGTCGGCACCAGGTGCAGTGTTTCCACGAATTCTGCTACATGCTTCACGGAGTTCGTCTGCTGTTACCGGGCGTCTCAACGGGCCTGTCGCAGAGAAGACGTATGGACCATTATGGGATCGGTAGAGGTCGTTGTAGAATGCAGCTGTAATGGCCGCAGCTTCTTGTAAAGTTGTTCGTCAGGGCACCATCAGGACACCGGAGTTGGTTTATTTGTCGACGTTCATACGTTAATTCGTGTCGAGCACGCCTTATCTTCAATTTGTCTATTGCATTTTGCATGACACGGTCGTTGTACTTGCGAAGATCGTCGGTAAGTGACCATCTAACTTGTTTGCACAACAATGAGTAGATAACAAAACTTATTGATCCATTTGCGAATCCAAACTTTTGCTTTCTTCTTTCTGCCATTAGCGCCATTGTTCTAGCAGAGATTCGTTCCACTCGTTGCTGTGGTATTTGTGCTAAAGCCATACAATTATTTGCTGCCTCCACGAAGCTGGGGATGTCGAAGCCGCCCGCCGGACGAGGCTGTGCTGCCATTGCAGCCTGCAGCTTAAGCTTGTCAAAAAGTGGAGGTAATGGTCTTGACTTCTGCTTAAAATAGGCAGGCTTCATACACATCGCCAGAGTAATTCGCACCATGCGGTGGTCACTCCCAATATTGCATCCAGAAAGTGTTGAAACGTCACGAACATACTTCAGATTCTTGCACAGAACATGGTCTATTTCATTGCGAGTGTTCCCATTTGGACTTCTCCACGTCCACTTTCGTCCGAATCTTTTCTTGAAAAACGTGTTGGCCACAATTAGATTATGTGCAGCACAGAATGAAAGTAAAGCGACACCTCGTTCATTTCGGTCACCTGTTCCAAAAGGCCCACACGTAGACTCTTTGTTTCTTGAACGTCCAATAATTGCATTGAAATCTCCGCAAATGAGCTCTGCTGTACTTCTCGTCGCTAGCCATGCAGCTTCTACTTCATCCAAGAATTGTTCGAACTCATCGTCTGGTGCCGCAGAAGTCGGGGCGTGTACTTGAATGATGCTGAGGCGTCTCCTTTTTATAAGGAATTCGGCTTGGATCACACGTTCGCTGATGTAACGGATGCCAACTAGCCTTTTGTTCATCTGTAAGGACATATACAGCCCTACACCAGCATACGTCGGGACATTGTCGCTTCGTCCACTGTTATAAAGTACAAAACCAGATCCAAAAT